ACGTAGAAATCAAACTTAAAAAAATTATAAAACTCTGTATGAAATATATATGAAAAAAACAAATTTGTTAATTTATTCACTGCTGAAAAATTAAAAAATATATTTATTTTTTAGTTCACATAAACTTGTATACGATTATCAGTTAACAATTATAGATTAACAATGTGAGTGTTAAAATTCTTTTGTTGCTGCTTTATTGCATAATAGCAAGAATTCTTAATCTAAGTGTATAATGCAATAATCCTACCTCATTCTCTATGTTAACATTATTTGTATTCATTAGATACAGCCTTCTATATGCTAAACGATGCACGAAGGTTACAACTTCATTACAATCTTAAAATGCACTTAAACATACTAATTTAAAATGTAATCTTCTTGAAATTTCAATTGAAAAGACTCTCCTTAGCAATATAAAAACTCTCCGCTCCGAACGAGAAATTCAAATAAAAACGAGGACTTTTTCAAAATCAGACGTTTCGGAACTATATACGCTTCATCTACAAAATATACAAATTTATTTCTTTTTATGTCTTAATATTTTCAAATTGTTTTTGTATTTGAGCCAAATACATTTGATTGTATTAAAAACTTCAATGAATTGTGTTTTGTGATTTTCAATCAGTTTTGAAAATTTTATATTTTTTTTATTCAAAATAAATTACAAGTTGTCTGTGGAGACATTGAGTTAATGAAATAAAATTGAGCTTTGAAAATAAAGAATTTTTGTTTCTGAATTTTATGTTATAATTATTATGTTATTGTTTAAACTCAGGTTATTTTCTCATGAATGTTTTAAAAATCTGAAGATGGATCGCATCCAGTTTAAAAACTTAAACATCTTTTCAAACATTTTATTGGGATATTTTGTTCAGTGCACAACATGAAATAATAAAAAATTGAAGACTACAACTACATATATTCATATGTATATAAAAAACTATAGCTAGTATATAAAACTATGAATATAGATTTTCATTCAAATTGGTGATAAACAATCTTCAAACAAAAATTTTGTGGAAACGTTTTTGGAGAAGGCAAAATATTAAAAAAAAATATTTCCTAATTTTATCATACACGGCCTGAATTTTATAGCAGATAATTTCATTGTTCAATGAAACTATATACTATCAAATCATTGCGTTAAGAAAATTGCTCCTTTGATATTTTTTTGTAAATGTATATTATGTCGGAAAATGAAAACAGACAACAATTATTTAACTAGTAGTGCATGGCATCGTGCCATTGCGTGTTAAATTGCTGAAACTTCCCGTACCAAATTGCTGAGCAAATTGTTACCAAATTTCTGGGCAAATTGTTACCAAATTGTTGGGCAAATTGCAGGCAAATTGCTGAAACTTCTCTTACCATAATTAAATTAATTGTAATTTAAAAAAAAAACTTAACTTCATTTTGGAACTTTTTGAAAATTTTGAACTGTTTTATAGAAGAAATATCGAAGCGCTTAAGCGCCACGTCGCAGTTTAACGAATAAACATTGGAACGGAGGCCATAGAAACTAAAAAAAAAGCATTCTTATAATTAAAATCTCCACAAAATATCTGAGAAGTTGATGTGCCTATATATATGTCTAATGATAATTTTTGACCGCCAATAGCATTTTTTCACTTTTTCTACTCGATCTCCGAAACCGCTAGACCTGCTTTCCTAAAAATGTAATAAGTTCTTCATTTTGTTAATACAAGTGAAATGTTTTTTGAATTATTAAATTCGGACGCTTCGTTCTCTCAAAAACTGAGTTACCATTTTTGGCATTTTTGTCAAAATTTTGGACCTGCCTCAGCCATAAACTAACAGCACATCTTCTTATCAATAGGAATCGAATGTTTTTAAATCATTCAAAAATTGCTTGAACGGTGTTCCCTAAATTGTCGACGAAAATTTGTATCCAAACACACACACACATGCACACATACATCAATTTTTTCTAAGATATGCCCAAGTGTTCAGAAACATTTGAAACATAAAGATATATAATAATTTTTATTTTTGTTTTTTGCGATTACAATAACTTACCCTACGGGAGGTCAAAACTAAATATCGAAACTAAGTTGATTTCAACGGATAATAGTACGGCGCCAATATTATCGGTAGCACTTTAAATGCTATACTTGACTTGGAGCCGTTACTTCAAATGTTATGCACGACCTATCACGTAGAATATATTAAACGGATGTCACATCACAGAAAAAATTGCCATCAATAGTTTCACTTAACAATCATTTGCTATATGGCGTAAGTAAGTGGTTAAAGCAATGGGATTTGAATCAGGAGTCCTCGATTCGATACTCCCTTCGAGCAGCATATTGTCAAGCAATCGTTTATTTAAGTGACAAGTTTCTATTTGGAAATGTAGATAGCAATATGCTTCCAAATAGAAATAGCTTTTATCGTGTATCCATCCTGATAGTAGAGTAAAACATTCATTAAATTATGTTTCTAAAAAAAATTTTAGACTCCATACGTTCAGAGTCCGAGTTTGACTTTTCTCGATGGAACAAACACATCAAAATTAGGTTTAAAAACCAGACACACTGAATGAGTAAGTTATGTTTGTAGAAAATAATTATAACAGATTGGTATTATAAAAATAACTTTATTTTTATTTTAATATTTCAAGGCAGAACTGCAAAAACTACTTTTTAATTAAATTTTTTGTGAGTTGAATAAGGTCACGTCTCTGTTTTTCAGACATCATTTTGTAATTTTTATATTTTTATTCTTTTAAGCGTCATTCATTTGTGAGAGTCTTATTTTATTAGTTTTCGTCGATTTTAATTCATTTACATTGCTTGTTCGCGAAACTTTAAACGTGTTTTTCCCAAAACGATTTACACGATTCCACGATACGATGCCACAATTTTGGGTGTTCCATGGCGTAACGGTTAAGCGCCCTTCCTTGTAAGGACAGGGTCGTGAGTTTAAGCCCCCGCTCTGGTAAACCTGATATCGTGCAGTAGCGATGTCCATTTTTACTTGAAAATATAGATCAAATTTATGTTTGAAATTGATTTCATAAAATAGGCCATTTCGGGCACAGCAATAGAAAATCCCTCACACTTTTTTTGCCCTGAACCGAGTTGAAGTTCATTTCAGTTCAAGGGCAGTACTACCCATTATTTTATTTTTGACCCTAATTTCTCAACTTCTACTGGACCGATTTACTTCAAATTTTTACAGAGGCTTTCTTTTATAAACTTTTCTTTAGTATGAACCCATCCTCCCATCCTTAATTTCCAAAATTTACTATTTTGAAAAAACAAGAATGTAAAAAAATGTGTAATTTTTTTTCAGACTGTGTCATTTTGTAAAAAAAATATGTTTATCTGTTTGTAGTTTCTAGAATTATATATATATATATATATATATATATATATATATACGATATATATATATATATATATATATCAATTTATTTATTATATATATATATATATATATATATATATATATATATATCAATTTATTTTAGAAGCTAAAATCTTGAGTATGTTCAGGTACCAATGCTTTGAGACCGCCCCCCCACTTCATCGCCTTTTAGAATTAAAAATTTTTGACTATTTTTAATTTTTTTTAAACATAAAAAAATATAGTAACTAGTGGTGCATGGCATTGTGCCTTAAAGCAAATTGCTGAAAATTCTCGTACTGCAATAAAATATTTGAAGAATATTAAATGTTTTCAAATATATTATTTTAAATACCGTAGCTTTCATTATTCGTATTTTATAGACAAAATATAAAAGCTTATAAATGGGACAATAATGTTCATATGAGTTAACATGAAAAGTAAAGAAACAAAACTTAATGATCCCCTTTGAAGAGGATGAAGAATATTATCTCAATAATTATATAATCTGAATTGCAAAGTCAAAATTACTTATTTCAAGTACTTTAGCTAGAATTAAAATTAAAATCCGAATTATTTTCTATATTTAACGACAAAAATGTTTTTTGTAAATTAATTTTTTTTTTTTAATTTTCAAATAAAAAAAATTTTTTTTGCTTTACCCAAAAACAATCGTTTCGTCAACACAAGCAGAAAGTTTGTTGAATTATTCAAATTGGATTCTTTGTTCTCACAAAAACTGCCACTTTTTACACATTTAGCTACGTATCTTCGAAACGGCTGGACCTGTCTCTTCCAAACACTAATTAGCACACTAGGAATCGATTGCTCTTTACAAATTTGGATCGGTTGAGCGGTACTCTCGAAAACGTCGACAAAAAATTGTATCCACACGTATATACATACATACATACGAGGTTTGCCAAAATGTTCACAAACTTCTGAAACGTTCAAAAATTTTCATTTTCGGTTTTGGGCCTATACTATAACTTACCCTACAAAAAGTTAAAAATATTGGTTGCCTTTTTTACGCCCTTTCAAAAATCGCATAAAATTCATATCTCTAGACACTGAGTGGATAAAAATTAGAAAAAGTATAATTACGTAATGGTGTAATTATATAAAAACAATAAATTTTACTTGTAAAAGATTGTAAATATTGTAAACCCCCTATACATTTATTTTACTTAGAGACACAACTGCAGGTTTTTTAGACCACACTTGGAGCATCTCCAAAAAATTCTTATCGTATCAATAATAATAATAGGCCAACCTGTCGGGTAATTCCCTTCTCGAGTTGGTTCCTCCCACCTGTCCTCAATAACAAAAGTTGCGATAGTCACGTATGTTAAGCCAAACACTTGATATTGCAAACCAAATGCCCATCAAGTGATCACAACTCACAAGATCATTGATAAAATTACGCGGGCAAGTGGCGCGGGACCAGTAAGAACCGGCTGAAATTAAAAAGTGTTCATTAAAAATTCATATAATTACTTTCAAAGCAAACATTATTGTTTCGAGTGCATCACACACTCGAAGAGATAATACGATAATACGAATATCTCGATTAACGTTTTGCGCTAAAAAAATCGCATTTTGATATAAGTCAATGCATCGCTTGTGTCTAACTTATTCGCCGGATATTCCTGGTGCATTCAAGTGATCAAAAGTGAATCCGTTGAAATTTGAATAAAAATGAGTGGAAAAGTATTTAGTGATATTTTTAACAAAATTATGCTGTGTACTTTTATTTTATTCGGCAGTTTATGTCTTGTTTCGACTAGTAATTCAACAGAAGGTAAGTTGAATTAATTAACCAATAAATATGAAAATCTATTGAAAATTGCAAAATGACTTTATATTCTTTTATATTATAATATTAATTTTGATAATTTGAAATGAGAAGTGAATCTAACTTCGAGCAAGATTATTTTACATTAAATAAGATAGTAAAAATTATGAATAATTAATGAAATTTAAAGTAAATACTATCATGTTAATATTATCATTATTCAAATAAATTTGAATTGTTTTCAAAATATTTGTCTTCACTCTTACGTTGAACTGCGGTTTGTTCTTTGTAAGAAATTTTGTACTAAATATTTTTATAATATCTGAATCATAAATTGAATTAAAGTATCAAGGTAATATGAAAATTGCAAAATGTCAACAAAAAAGACTTATATTCTTTTATACCATAATAATAATTTTAATAATTTAAAATTACTTGTGATCTAATTTGAAACAAAATTATTTTACATAAAATGAAATAGAATAAATTATAAATAATTAATGAAATTTAAAATGAATACTATCATATTATCATTGTTAACATTTATATTATTCAAATAAATTTAAATGATCATTCAAATATTTCAATTTTCTTGCAGTTTGCTTTTTATAGAAACTTTTGTACTAATTGCATCTATAATATCAAAATCACAAATCAAATTAAATTGAAGCATCAAAAAATTATGGAATTTTAGTAAAAATTGCAAAATGACTTTATATTCTTCTATATCATTATGAATAATTTTAATAATTTGAAAAGAGTTGTGGAGCAAAATTATTTTACATAAAATAAAATATTAAAAATCATGAATAATTAATAAAATTTAAAATAAATTTAGTAATATTATTATCATTGTTAATATTTTCATTATTCAAATAAATTTATCTAAATTATCATTAAAATGTTATTATTCTCTTGCAGTTTGATTTTTATAATAAATTTTGTACTAAATATTATCTATAATATCAGAATCATAAATCAAGTATATTAAAGCATCCAGAAAATATAAAAATTTAGTGAAATTTGTAAAATGATAACTAAAATGACTTTATATTCTTCTAATAATATTTTTAAAAATTTGAGTTGTGAATGTAACTTTGAGCACGATGAATTTACACTAAATAAGATAGTAAAAATCATTATCATACTTATTATTTAATTATAATTAATGAAATTTAAATTAAATATTATCATTTTTAATAGTATCATTATTCAAATAAACTTCAATTATTATTATAATATTTTCGTTCTTTCTTATGTCGAACTTTGTACTAAATATATCTATATATAATATCAGAATCATAAAATGAATTAAAACTAAACTAAAAGCATCAAGATAATATGATAATTTGTGAAAATTTGCAATTGTAAAACAAGAAAAATGGCTTTGTTCGTTCATATCGTATTAATCATTTTAATAATTTAAAATAAGTTGCGGATCTACTTATAAGTAAATTTATTTTACATCAATAGTAAAAACCATAAATAATTAATGAAATTTAAAATAAAAACTATATCATGATGTTCAAGCATCTAAGTTTTAAAGTGATTTGGATAAAAATATTTATAGAAAAATAGGTTTTTGTTTCTCCAATTCTCTCCAATTCTTTTTGTAAACCATTTATATTAAAAATATAAGTTATTAGTAATTAATTACTAATAATAATTATTATTTTTGTTTTCATAAGTTCACTTAAATTTTAAATGTTATTTTTATACTAAATGAATTTATGAATTAATTATGATTCAATTCAACTTGACATAGAACAGATTACTCTCTAAGGTCAGCTACTTCTTAAAACGAGATTTTTTATATATATTTGTGTCAAATAGTACAAAAATTTAATTATGCTAAGATACCTTGTGATTATGTTGTATATGACTATTCATTGAGAATCGAATGATTTTGAAAATAACAACATAACCCATGTGCGTCAGAATCAGCCATCGTTATAGAGAATCTCTTTTCAATAACACTTTTTGGCTTTTTATGAGTGTTGCAGTTACGTCTTCATTACTATTTAGGTTTCTTAACAAAAATTACATTTCTTGTGTTGATATGGAAAAAAACATAAACATCATACACTTTTAAGAAATTCATAAAAATATTTATGATCGCAAATGTTACATATGACGCAAATATGTCTTTGGCGAAAGTTCAGTGCAACGCACGCTCAATGCAATTTAACGAAAAAAACAAGTTTATGTAATTGTTATGTAAATTTTCAATAAATTATGCAAAGTTTTCATTAAATCGGTTTTGAACTATTTTTATATGGAGTAAAGATAATTAAATGGTACCAATTATATATATATATTATAGATAAAAATTTCTGCAGTTTTGCGCTGCGAGGAAAGTTATTGACTATAGCCTCAAAATAAATGAAAGTAGTTGTTACTTATTTTCACGATCCTTAAATATTTTAACATATTCTTTAAATGGAATAAAGTAAAGATATACACAAAACATGATTAGTTTTTGGGAGCCATGTCGAGTAAAAATATGTTTCAACCTAATATTCATATACAGTTTTCCCAATATCGATTTAGTGAAATAACATTAGAATGTCCGTCGTAAAAAATGGTACACATTTTAAATAAAATGACGATTGGAGAAAACTAATATAAATTTATAAATGTAATAGATTGCATGCTTTTTGTGTAGATGGGTGTTAACTACAAGTTTACTATATTTTCTGCATCCTAATTGAAGTTGTTACAGTAGTTACTACGTAGTACCAAAAGCACAGATGATGAAAATTTCCACTTGCCCTCACAAATTTCTACCCAAAGAAATACGTATTTCTTTTTTTTTAAGAAATGAATCAATTTTATGTAATACATGCAACTTAATGTTATTTATTTACCATATAGTTCTCATAATATATTAGTTATTTTTATGCGCTTTTTAAATTACATATGTTGTTTGAAGTTAAAACAATCTTTAAAATATAGACGATAAATAGGTGGTGTATTACAAGTGAAAGCTCCCTAAAGATATGTATTTATTTCTATCATTAATGTAAACTAAAATTTAACCAAAATTATGTAAAATGTATAATTATTATTCTGATCAATTATTATAATTAAAAATCATATATGCATCTTCAAACTTTAGTAAACTAAAACATTCTCGTATATCCTAAGTACCTATGCAAATGATACGATTTTTTAAGCTAAATTTCCCAAGTATAGTGGCTGAATTTATAACTAATCCATTAATAAAAGTTAAATTGTTATGTTTCAATTTACTTTTTACTGAAACATATTTGTTTAGCTTTAATTACACTTTTTGTTTGTATCGATAAAACCTTCATGACCTTGTATGATTCATGGTCCTTCTAAAATATTACAGAACTGCGAAAAGTGATTTAATTATGAGAAATCATCAAAGTTTGGAATAATGAGTTTGGAACAGATAGTTGACAATTGGATACAGCAAACTGCAATATTATGATATCATTTTTTTTTTTGGATACAGCAAACTGCAATATTATGATATCATTTTTTTTTAATTCAGAGATTTATGCCTACACAAGGCCGCGAATAACAGAATCGATTCACATAGGTCAGCCAAAAAGTACATTTGGAAAAAATATTTAACTTAACATTATAATAATTATTTACCATATCAAAATATTATTATAACTCTTAATTGCAACGTATTTAAGAAGTAAATAGCCATTAATATTTTTAAACACTCTATTATTTAAACAAACTGATTTTAGAGCACTTCACCTTCTTGCCTGATAAAAATTTATTTATATTACAATAAGTATCATTTTTGTAATTGCAGTATTGTGATAGTACAATAAATATAAATTGCTATGAAATATATTTATTTACAATATTTGCAGAACTTGATCAAATATTTGAATATGTTCCACTTAATGGATCAGAACATCCGTGCATCAGGCTATGTGTGAAAGACACACCAAAGATGATTTGCAGGTACCATTTCAAGGTGAATACAAATGTGATTGTACATAATGATTAGATATATATATATATATATATATATATATATATATACACTATATTTTGTTCATTTGAATTTATAATATTTTAATTATTAAGTTATCTCGCACGTTACATGTATCAGAAGTAATAAGCATTACATCTTATCAGTTTATTTACAGTATTTAGTTAGTTTATCTTGTAAGCAAAAGTTAAAAATGATGTAATATTTTATGTAATATTTGCAAACTATTTGTGCATTTATTATATTATTTGTTATATTACTTCAGGTGTAGCAAACAATTTAGGTTGATATTTTATTATTTCTATTATTTTTATTAATATAAATATAACCTGGAATTATAGTGGTTATTAGAGAAATAAATGTAAAACTAGTGGTGTATGGCATCGTGCCTTAAGGCAAATTGCTAGAACTTCCCGTATCTTAATGGAATATTCGAGGAATATTAAATGTTTTGAAATAGATAATTATAAATAATTCAACTTAAATTTTCTTATTTTATAAAAACTGAATAAACAAAACTAAATCAATCGGATTTAAAACGAGGAACAATGTCTAATATTTCTAAGTATTATATAAATTGAATTGCAAAGTTAAATTTGTTTGAAGTAAAATTTTTTTTTCATAAATTAAAAAAAAAACTAGCTGTGAGTAGAATTCTGTCTTGAGGCAATTATGGCATCGTGCCTTAAGGCAAATTGCTGGAACTTCCCGTTGAATACTGAATATTTTCAAATAGATTATTATAAATATTGTATCATTGTCTAATATAAAATAATAAAATAAAATCTGAAATATTTTCGATATGCAAAAAACTAAAAAAAAAAAAAAAAAAAAAAAAAAAAAAAATGGAACAAAATTTTTTTTTCTAAAATAAATTATTTTGTTAAGACGAGCAGAAAGTTCTTTGAATTATTTAAATCGGACGCTTAGTTCTTTCAAAAACTGCTATTTTTTACATATTTAGCTCCGTATCTTCGAAATGGCTGGGCCTGCCTTTGCCAAGAACTAATAAACACTTCTCCCAATCATTACTAATTGAATGTTTTTTAGATCATTCAAATCGGATACTCCGTTCTCTCAAAAATTCGATTTCTATTTACTGCACTCTTTGCTCCGTATCTCCGAAACGGCTGGACCTGCCTTTACCAAAAACTAATCAGCTCTTTTCCTTATCAATAGAAATCGAATGTTTTTTTAACCATTCAAATCGGTTGATCCGTGCGCCCTAAAACGTGACTGGAAATTTGTATCCACACATACATACACACACACACACACACACACATCCATTTTTTCTGAGGTATGCCAAAACGTTCAGAAACCTTCAAAACGTCGAGAAATGTAAAAATTTTCAATTCCGATTTTCGGCCCATTACAATAACTTACCCTACGGGAAGTTAATAACAAAAAAATATATTTATATATCATGAACTTAAATTATTTTTAAAACACGACTTTTATTTATATTATTGAGGATAATATTTACAAATTGATTTGCAAAATAAAATACATATATCTTTTATTAATCACTATACTTTATCAAAGCTTGAGAAAAATAAACGATCTGCTATAGATTGATGAATTACAAAGTAAGTTTGCGTTTTTTCGTTTCAGTTGTTCTTTATATAGATATAATATAATTACTATATTCTTAAAATTTTCGTCTACGTTTTTGCAAACATTCCAAAATCAATTTAGAAAATTGAACAAGACCAGCCAGGCCGTTTTTTGCAATTATTTGTTTGAACTTTTTATACGATTTTAATTAAACGTTTTATGATGATTAAGATAATTAAGCGATAGATAGGCCTACGAAAAGTAGTTTAAATTAAAAAATTATTTATAAAATTAATGGAATAATTAATGTGATAAATTTTGAAGCAAAATTGACACAGAGCATGTGGTCCATGGACGACATCCGTACACCCAGCACGTCATGCGGACGTCGTCCATGGACAACATTCGTAGCAAAAGGGTATATAGTTGCCAAATTTTAATTATTATTATGTCTTACAACTAGTTTTGTCTATTATATTGATTTTTTTTCAGATTGAAGAATACCGGACTATGAGCAAGGCATGCTTTGACTGTCCTCACAATATTCAGGATTGCGATAGACCACATTGTGTTCATGCTGACGGAGTCCCTAGAGGAGTTGTCGTTGTTAATAGACAATTACCTGGCCCAAGTATACAGGTAAAACAGATATCCTTAATAATAAATATATACTTTCCCTAATTGTAAAAGAAATATTTCAAGAAAACATAATTTGAAGTCTATATCGTCCAAAATTAATAAATAACGTTGTTTTGGAACAATTTTATGATTTAGTATTGGGCCTTAAACTCGCTAAAATTTTAGTATGAATTATCTTACATAATCAGTGTTCGTGCATAATTAAGCACATATTTAAATTAATATTTGTAATTATTTTATTATACTCATTTTACTACGGTTAATTTATTATTTACGTCCAAACATAATATGAATCGATAATATATATTTAAAAAAATAAACTTCTTGAAAATGAAACAAATTCATAATTCGATATTTGAATATCACAATTTGCAATTTAACCTTTTATTATTCCTAAAAATTAAGCTTGTTTAAAAAAAATATGGGGTTCACTACTTAGTGCTAGAGTAAATTTTAAAATATCTCAGATTTACTGTAGATTTTGTAATAGTTACATGTTTTCACACAAATCTAATATAAATTTTACAATATGATCTGAGCAGCTTTTATTGCAATTTTCTGCATTACTAAACCACTAATTAAGGCAATTTAATCTCTGTGTTTTTATTCCATTGCATATTTAATATTTAAAAAGTACACACAAAAATTTTTCTCATCACTTGTTTCCACAAACTTTGGCAAAATACGATTTTTGCATTTGAGGTGTGATTTAAATTTTGTGCAAAAGCAGCCAAATAAATCTGAAGTTAACCTTAAGATGTTCTCAAATCGTTAAAAAAGATCATTTTAAATCAACAATTGAGATGAAAAAAGCTGTCGGTGAAGAAGTTAAAATTTCAATATCAAGTAAAAATTAAGCTGACATTTTTAACATATCTTGATATTATTGAAATAGGTTTGCCGGGGAGATACAGTTATAATCGATGTAGAAAATGAATTGATGACGGGAAGTACCTCTATACATTGGCACGGTCATCATCAGCGTGACACACCATATATGGATGGAGTACCTAAAGTGACACAATGTCCAATTGCACCAGGAACCACTTTTAGGTATCAATTTGATGTTCAACAAGTAGGAACTCATTTCTGGCATTCACATTCTGGTAAGTAAAATAGTGTTAATTGAATATTTTTATAAGGTAGCCTTAAAGTGAACTATATTTTAATACTTATATACTATTATTTATACTTAGTCACTTAGAAATGATTTATTTATTATATTCAGAGAGTCGCCAAAATCACGTAAATATTTTTTAATTCTATCGACAAATTGTTAGACAAACTGGTAGATATTTTGAATAATAAAATTTATTTATTTAACAGGAATGCAAAGGGCTGATGGTGCCTTCGGCTCATTTATCGTACGAGAACCAGTTGAAACAAACCCTCACGCTGATCTTTACGATTATGATTTACCAGAGCATGTGTTGGTAATCTTAGATTGGGAACACCAACTTGGAATGGATAAATTTTTGGCACACCATCATGGAGGTGGTAATAACAAACCACCAAGTCTACTAATTAATGGGAAAGGCAGATTTCGAAGATTTCCTCTTAACAAAACCGAGGAAAATGCAACTGATGTACTTTATACACCGACGGCAAGATTTACAGTGGAACCGGTAGGTAGATACGAAATTGCATCAATCTAATTTTTGATATAACTATTATTTAAGTAGTTAATTGAAATTTAATGTTAATTGAAATTTAATTTAGTGATTTTAATGTAATTAGTAAAATGCGCATAAAAAGATATTTATTTTATAATTTTTATAAAAATAAAAATAATTCTCAAAAAAATTGCAATATTGAACGCTAAATAATTATGTAATTGGTCTAGTTTAAACAATTATTTTGATTATTTTTATCTAAAATGAGGTTTTACAGAGATGCTAGAAGTGCGCGATAGGCATAATTTGTACCCACCTAAATAGAATTTTATAAAGTTTCTTCAAAACATTCTTAAAAAATGGTTTAAACTAAATATTATCTTGACATTTGATGAAAGAGTATGTCACGTTAATCATTAAATTGCCAACTGATTTATTTAAATATTTATTAATTTATTTTAACATCTTTTCTTAAGCTAATTAAAATTATTATTTTTTTCTTGCGATGTTAATTTTGCCAGTAATAATATACTGTCTATATTTTTAGGGATTTAGATATAGATTTCGGGTCATTAACGCCGAGTTTCTAAATTGTCCCATAGAAATTTCAGTTGACAATCATACAATGACCGTAATCAGCACAGATGGTTTTGATACACAACCTGTTGAAGGTATATTTAAAGTTACGAAATTAATAAAAATTATATATGGTATTGAAATTAAAATTATTTAATGCAATAATTAATATTTACTTTTAGTTTATCATTTTTAAAAATTTAATTTTCACTTAAAGTTAATTCAACTGTATTATATTTGATGATTGTTATTTGAAATTGTAAATTAATTTATATTAGCAAACGATTGCAAAACATTTCATACTACATGAACTTATTATGAGAAAAAAAAGAAGTGCTTAATTATCATTTTCTATTATTTTAGTGGAGTCCTTGGTAACCTATGCTGGAGAACGATTTGATTTCATAATCGATGCCGATCAAGATACCGACAATTACTGGATTAGAATGCGAGGACTTATGGATTGTGACTCTAGATTTACAAAGGCTCATCAAGTTGCAGTTCTGCACTATGATGGAGCTTCCGATGATGAACCTGACTTAGAACTCAGCTGGGAACTCAATACCAAAGAAGGCCTGGTCAGTAACACATTTCTGAGACTTATTCGAGTCTTATCTCGGAATTAACATATATTTGATAAAGAATATATTTTTAATTCAATGTATATAATACCACAGCAACTTAATGCTCTAAATAAAGGACCAGGACATAACGATACAATGACTGTTGCCGAAATGAAATCTGTGGTTCCGACAGATCCAAGCCTAAAAGAAACTCCAGACTACAAATTTTTCTTGTCGTATGATTTTCATGCTAAAAATAATCCATTATTCCATCAGCAAGGATTGTACGGATTCAATCAAGGTAAAACATCAAATCTATATCTATAAATTTTTATTAAGTATTTTTAGAAGATTAACATTTGTCTCTGCTCTGAACATACATTGATGCATAATTTTAAATTTTTCCTTTTTATGAATACGTATAAATCTCAAAAATTTATTTAATTGTACAAAATTTATGTATCCTTTATAGTACAATTTAACATATACTTTTTAGTGGAACCAAAAGAAAAGGACGAAAAACTACATAATCTCTGCCAATATTTGCTATACCAACTTTTCATACTACTAAATGCAAAGTTGAAATTTATCAGTACATATACTATTTTTTATTGCAGTTAAGGACAAAAAATATCGCATATATACACCACAAATAAATCATATAACGCTAAAACTGCCACCATTCAATATGCTATCAGGAAGATCACAATTTACGTCTGAATCATTTTGTAATGCAACATCCATGGCTAACGCAAAATGTGTGACAAATTTCTGTTCCTGTACTCATGTTCTGAGTGTCAAGTTGAAAAGTGTAGTCGAACTAATATTAGTAGATCAAGGTAAGATGAAAAAATTGTTTATAAATTTTTAAGCCCTTACCAATAATTTCTTCCACAAGAAATGGTTACTTATTCCATTATGCTAATAGCTTAAACTACAAAGTATCAATTATATTACCGCAAAAAGTCACATATTTTACTTAATAAATATTATATTCATATATGTGTGTGTTTGCACAAAATAGTAATATACATTATTTCTTCCAAGGTTTCACATTCGATGCAAATCATCCTTTCCACCTGCACGGTCATGCGTTCAGAGTAGTTGCTATGAATAAAATTGGACCTCATGTTACAACTGGACAAGTTAAAGATTTAGATGAAATGGGTTTAATTAAAAGAAATTTAAATGATTCGCCACCACTAAAAGACACGGTTACCGTACCTGATGGCGGATTTACTATTCTAAGATTTTATGCAGACAACCCAGGTAAAAACATATATTCAAATTTATATTAGTTTTTGAAAAACTATATAAATATGAAAACTATACTAATAAATCTTTTGCTAGGACGGTGTTTTCCGTAGAAGTGACGCTGCTGTAGCCAGCAAGCCACCTAAAGTATTAGTTACAAAACATAATCATTATCAATAAAACTATATTTCAATATTAAAAATTATATTTCTCACGCACTAATATCCACATTAACAAATTATTGTCCTTAATAAATTAACTCGGAGTAATAAATCTTGAAGCAAAAGTCGATACACTGGATGTCGCCTATAGGCGACGATTGTAGCAAAAAAGTAATTTATATAATAAAATTGTTAATGGACTTTTTATTTCAATAGGTTATTGGCTGTTCCATTGTCATATAGAATTTCATGTAGAACTAGGAATGGCCCTTGTATTCAAGGTGGGCGAAGATGATGAGATGCCACCTACTCCTAAAAATTTCCCACAGTGCGATAATTGGATTCCGGAGGACTTAAAAATTGATAGCAGTACGTATACTTTTTTATATTATCTATTTATACGTACTACTATTTCATTTATGATATCAAATTTTTATAACTACTTACACTATTTTCATTAAAAATTTGTTTAATATAAAATATTATTTACAGATTCGACAGAAACTTCTGGGTCCGCATGCAGGCATTTAATTTACAAATTACTATTTATTAGTAGTTTAATTTTGTATTATGTATGATAATGTTTGCTATTTAAATCAATTTATTTTTGACTGTGATAAATTAACTTATTTAATAATAAATATTTGTATATTGTCTTGTTTCTTAATTACTTTTTTTCTTTTGCATATAACTGAGTGGAAAATGCACTTTTTAAATATTTGATTTTGCAAAATAAGTACTAATTGATGGTGGTATATGGCATTGTGCCTTAAGGTAAATTGCTGGGACTTCCCGTACAAAAAATTAAATTTTTTAAAAAGATTCAATATGTTTTAAACTTTGAAAATGTTAGATTATTGAGAAATTTTAAATTTTTGAAAAAAAGACTTTTTTGGAAAAAAATGTTTCTTTTAGTTCGAAATATTTTGGAAATTTTGAACTTTTTGTAAAACAATCGCACTGCTTTAGCTGCATAGAGACGCAATATCGAAGCTCGTAAGCGCCGCGTCGCCGTCTAATGGACTAACTATGTTATGAAACTCATAGAAATGTAAACAAATTGATACACATTATTAAAATCTCCATAAAATATCTGATAATTTGATGTGCATATGTCAAATGATAATTTTTGACCACAAAATGGCATTTTTTTTTACTTTTTTACTAGATCTCCAAAACCGCAAGACCTGCCTTCCCAAAAATTTAATCAGTTCTTCATCTTGTCAATACAAGTAAAATGTTTTCTGAATTATCAAAATCGGACGCTCCATTCTTTTAAAAGCTGTGTTACCGTTTTTGGCAATTTTTGCCCCGTATCTTCGTAACGGATGGACCTGCCTTCGACAAAAACTAATCAGCACGTCTCCTTGTTAATAGAAATCAAATGTTTTTTGAATAATTTAAATCGGTTAAACGGTGTTCCCGAAGTTGTCGACGAAAATTTGTATCCGCACACACACACATACATCCATTTTCTCTAAGGTATGCCAAAATGTTCAAAAACCGCTGAAACGTAAAGATATATAAAAATTTACACTTTCGATTTTTTGCGATTATTATAACTTGCCCTACGGGAAGTTAAAAGAAATTAAAATCAATTTTTAGAAAGTTTGTAGTTTTCTTCCTACATTTATTATCTGGATGAATGTCTGTTTAAGAAGTATTTTGTTTAATAAACTTATATATAATTTATTTGCAAACACACAGAGATTGCATGACGATATTTACAATCTAATACAGTTTTATCTAACAAACCATATAAATCATACAATTTTAGTATGGTTATATAGTAAAATTAATTACTAATTTACGATACAGCATAATTGAATTTAAACTACGTCCATATGGCGGGAATTGAAGTATCGATATCCTTAACTGTAAATCGATAATGGTTCTGAAGTTGCTGTGCCAAACTGTCAAACTTTCACAATGATCAAATTGTCAAAACATGCTTTAAGAGCCGGTGCAAAAATTGCAAAAATGTCGGAACTTAATGAAACGAAGTCCCCTTTAACATATAAAGTTCTGCACAAATGTGAAGTCTCCAATGCTAGAGTAGGATTAATGAGTTTATTGCATCATGATGTTGATACACCAGTATTTATGCCGGTTGGAACTCAGGTTAACCTATTAATAAAACGTGTTTGTTTATATACTTACATGAAAATTTAAAATAATTATTATATATAGGGAACTCTCAAAGGATTGTTGCCAGATCAACTTGTAAATTTAAATTGTCAAATATTACTGGGAAATACATATCATTTAGGAATGAGGCCTGTAAGTATTGCATATATTATTCTTAAAATTAAAATCGTTATTTGCATATGGAAAACAAGTATTAATATAAAAAATATGTAGATATTTAATATTCATGTAATACTAATGAATTTCAGATTCTATGTAATAAGTTAAATTAATTACCCGCTTGCAATGTGATCTTTTCATCGACTTATTTTGCTTCTGACTTTATTTGTTCATTTAAAAATTAATGTAAATGTTATTGTAACTACTTCTATGCTTCAAGATAGTATATGGCAGCTTTTTTTAATGTATTACTATAAATCATAAGCACCATTCTGACGATGACTAACACCAAAAAGTGGAGCGATGAAGTACTGTATATTGCTTCTAAAAATTTTTGTTATAATATAAATTGAAACAAGTTGTGTATGGCATCGTGCCTTAAGGCAAATTGCTGGACCTTCCAGTATTGTAACAAAATGTTCGAGGAATATTAAATGTTTTGAAATAGATTATTATAAGTACTATAACATTGTCTAATATTTATAAGAATTGGATAAACTGAATTACAAAGTTAAAATTATTTATTTAAAGTATATAAGTGAGCTTTAGAACTTTAGCCAGAATTAAAATTAAAATTTGCATTATTTTCGATATACAAAAAAAAAGTTTTAAAAAAAAAACGAAAAAAAAACTTGAATTATTTTTTTTCCAAAAGCAATTATTTTGTCAAAATAAGCAGAAAGTTTTTTAAATCATTGAAATCGGATGCTTAGTTCTTTCAAAAACTGCCATTTTTTGCACAATTAACTCGGTTATCTCCAAAATGGCTGGGCCTGCCTTTGCCAAAAACTAATAACCACTTCTCTCAATTATTACTAATTTAATGTTTTTTAGATCATTCAAATTGGATGCTCCGTTCTCTTAAAAACTCGATTTCTATTTTCTGCATTCTTTGCTCTTTATCTCCGTAACTGCTGGGCCTGAAAACCATAAATGATGTATAAGAGTTACTTGATTTGGCAACTGAAAAAAGTGATAAAATTAATTTCAGTCTCCCAATTTATAAGTTTTTTTTTTTATCGAAAAATAAAGTTTTTATAAATTTGTATCACAGTTATTCGATTTCATAAAAAATTAATATTGACAATTTTGTTATGACATATTGAAAGACAATATTATATGTCTTCCTCGTCATCTGTATGGGAGGATTTGTCATTATAAATCATAAGCGCTGTTCTAACAATGACTAACACCAAAAAACAAAAAGTGGAGCGATAAAGTACTGTATATTGCTTGTAAAAATTTTTGTTATAATATAAATTGAAACAAGTTGTGTATGGCATTGTGCTGGACACTTCTCTCAATTATTACTAAATTAATGTTTTTTAGATCATTCAAATTGGATGCTCCGTTCTCTTAAAATCTCGATTTCTATTTTCTGCATTTTTTGCTCTTTATCTCCATAACTGCTGAGCCTGCCTTTGCCAAAAACTAATCAGCACATCTCCCTATCAATAGGAATCGAATGTTTTTTGAACCATTCAAATCGGTTGATCCGTGCGCCCGAAAACGTGAACGAAAAAATGCAGACACACAAAACACACGCTAAAAAACGATAACAAATAAATCATAAATGATGTATAGGAGTTACTCGATTTGGCAACTGAAAAAAGTAATAAAATTAATTTCAGTCTCCCAATTCATAAGTTTTTTTTTATAGAAAAATGAAGTTTTTGTAAATTTGTATCACAGTTATTCGATTTCATACAAAATTAATATTGACAATTTTGTTATGACATATTGAAGACAATATTATATGTCTTCCTCGTCATCTGTATGGGAGGATTTGTCATTTCGATTTGTTGTTAAGTTTCTATAGTAATTATGTTTACAAAGAAAAATAAATTTTATCAGGTTCATGTTATTTTATCATTCCCTTGACACAGTTCTACCTTTAGGATATAATAAAGGTTATTTTTCTGATATTTTTTATACAGCAATCTACTTACTAGAAATTTCCTTAATAGTAAATGCTCTATCTAATGATCACAAGATGTAGTTTAGAGCTTTCTAACTTCATTAAGTATTTTAAGCCAATTTGCTGAAAATTCTATCGTGGTAACATTTCTGTTAATGATGGATAGTTCTTAAGGTTTTGTTGAAAAACAATCTTGGCATTGTATCTCAATACATCGAACCAATCATCTGATGAAAAAATGTTTTGATTTTGGTGACATGTGACTCAATATTGTGAATGATGGCAAAATATGAATCATTGACAAATAACTGTGTCCACTTACCAAAATTTTCATTTAATTTTCAAAGTTTGTGGAGTAAGCATTGGCGTTCTTTATCAAATAACATGAATTTTCATGGGAATCACGAGACCCTACAGTCTCTGGCCAAACAAACATTTGGTTCATATTATTACGAAATTTTTATCATCTCTGTGATTCATGATAGCCGAAACATTTACATTACATAATGGAGTTAATCAACATAACTTCTGAAATAAATGACTTATTAACACAAAAAGTTTTGATTATATCAAGCACTAACATCTAAGTTTTTTTAAAGAGTGGAGTCAGTCAGTGTATGCATGGCTCATATATTGCTAATAATTATATGGATACAGTAAAACTTTAAGAATTATCATAATATGTTTACCCTCATATTATTTTAAGGGCCCCGAAACACTGAGTAAAGCTGGTGGTTTGCATAAATTTATGGGCTGGGATAGAGCAATTCTCACAGACTCTGGTGGCTTCCAAATGGTATCATTATTGCAATTAGCTGAGATTAATGAGAAGGGTGTGAAGTTTCAATCGCCATTTGACGGATCTGAATGTATGCTTACTCCAGAGCATTCCATTTTTATACAAAATGCTATAGGTAAATTTGTGAAAACTATCATTATATTTTTTTCCTGGAGCTGAAGTTATAAAACTAAAAATGCATTGCAGGTGCAGATATAATAATGCAGTTAGATGACGTTGTTAAGACAACTGTAACAGGTCCAAGAGTAGAAGAAGCCATGTATCGTACTACAAGATGGCTTGATCGTTGCATTCAGGCTCACGCTAGAAATGATGAGCAAAGTATTTTTCCAATTGTTCAAGGTGGATTAGATACAGGTAAATATATTTTGATGATATTATTAAAAGAATATTATACTATAAGAATAAAAACTATACCAATGAGATATTTAAGCATGTTACATACAGAATATACAAATAAAAGTCACTAGGTATTCCCAATTTAATAACTGTTTGAACTCGTACATATGACTTTTTGTTAGTGTGCTCTGCTTGGACTATTATTTGATTCACATATTTGTTTATTCAGAATTTGTATGGTGTCAAACTTTTTTTTAAATAAGCAGTGATAGATGAATAGAAAATTAGAAATAATTTAAAAATATATGGTAAAAATATTTTTTATAAAATAGCTTTTATAAGGTCTTGATTCAAATAAAGTACAACAATTTATTACAATTATAATAATGACTTGATAAAAAAAAATTTAAACACCACATGAAAAATAATGGATTCCAAAAATAATAAATATTGCCGGGACAAACAAAATTAAAATTTAGCATTATTCTTATCACTGCTATTATCAATAAATACACAATATATAAATCTGCATTTTAATTTATTTCAATTTAATTTCATTTTGTAAAAACTTTTTTGGTATTAAAAATTTTTTTAGAAGTCTAAAATATGAGTTAAAATACACTGATCTTTACCCAGTCGCGTTCGTTATAAAACAGATTTTGAATAATATTGGAAAGCAAAAGCGGCATTATAAATTGTGAGGTTGAGTATTATTTTGAATTATTCTACTATTATTCTATTATATATTTTTAAGTACACACATTATTGTTCTCAAGAATGTTTGAGAAAATAGTTTATTCTTAGACCAATATAAAACGTACGGTTAGAAGTTTTACTATTTCCATCCATATTATTAGTCCAAAGAAACGTTTTATTTTTAATTTTTATTTGTTAGAGTCCTGTTCTTACATCTGCAAGAAATTTTGATAGCGCAGAATAAAGATTTGTTTGCTTCACCAATGAGTTCAAATACTTTATCAGTGACAAAGGGTGTATAAAAATGTTCTACTGTTTTAAATTTTGATATTTATCATATTTTGCGCTCGTAAAGGTCGAAGTCTTTGGTCGAAACTATTTATTGTGTAAGTACAGATATAAAATTTGTTTTTAGATCTCAGAGAAAAGAGCGCAACTCAACTAGTTGAACGAAATACAAGAGGAATTGCAATAGGAGGTTTGAGGTAATTTTAAACAAGAATCATAATTTTTATAATGATTGACCATGACAATGTTTTTAGTGGTGGAGAAAGTAAAAATGACTTTTGGAAAGTTGTATTGAAAAGCATTAATCACTTACCTGACGATAAACCTAGGTATCTAATGGGTGTTGGCTTTGCAGCCGATATAGTTGTTTGTGTTGCCTTAGGAGTTGACATGTTCGATTGTGTTTTTCCAACTCGAACAGCTGTATGTATATTTCTCTCAAGATATTTGTTTGATAATAAAAATTATAGCTAAACATATATATCTACAATCCTTTGCAGAGATTTGGATGCGCATTAATTCGCGCAGGTCAATTGAACTTGAAACAGAAAAAATTTTCCAAAGATTTTGAACCCATAGATAAGAGTTGTGTGTGTTCGACTTGTAAGAACTACACCCGAGCGTACCTTCATAATATTGTTACTGTGGAGACTGTTGCTTGCCATTTGTTAACAATTCACAATGTTGCTTTTCAGGTAAAACTTTTAAACATTAGTTTCTGCAATTTTTTTTTTGCTAATTTTCTTTTTTCATTTTTAATTAACTTTTTGCTTTTTAGCTGCAGTTAATGAGAGATATTAGAGAAAGTATTAAAAAAAATGAGTTTACAAAATTTGTTCAAGATTTTATGAAAGAGCATTTTCATGATAGAGAATATCCAGAGTGGATAGTTGACTCTTTGAAGGCTGTTAATATTAATTTGTAACAACCAAAAGTAAAATGAAGATTTGTACTAGTAAGGTAGAGCATTCCTGTTTCCTATGACCTGTAATTTATACAATTAGTATTTTTATAACCAATGACTTGCACGTGATATATTTATTAAGAATTGTACTTAAACTGTAATATATACAAATAAATGAAAGTAAACCATAACTTTTAATTGAAACTACATAAATTCATCGGAATCATTGCCGTCAGTTGTCATATTCTCAGGTCGCATTAGAGTACTGTAACTTCTTAATTCTTCTTCTTCTTTTTTACGTTTTTGTTCAAGCCTTTCTCTTTCTTTTTGTTCTCTTAGCAATTTTTTCTTGTCTTCTCTTTCTTCTCTATCTCTTTGTTCCCGTTCAGCACGAAAATCTTAAATTAAAATATATTTAACAGTTTTATTTAATAGATATGATCACTCTTATTTATTGTGTTTGAACTGTTTGCACTCGTACTCGTACATATGTTTTTTTGTTAGTGTGCTGCGCTCTGACTATTATTTGATATACATTTCTGACTACTAGGATTTTTTTTGTATCGCATCTCTCTTAAATGCGATGGTATTGCTTTCAAATATAGTTATTGTGATAGCAAAATAAAAAATTGAAAAAATCTAGTTAAAACCTAATTAAATATAATAATATAATTAAAACTAAACTAACTTTTTTATAAAATATCAAGTATTAGCAAGCGCCTAAGCCGTGTCCACGAAAGAGAGAAAAGTACTGACTATCAAACTGAGTTTCAACTTTCGGAATAGGGTAAGAAACTGTTTTGTTTGGAGCATAGCTCTGTACAGATCTAAGATATTGACTCTAAGAAAGGCCAACAGAAACTACCTGGGTAGTTTTGATATGTGGTTCTGGGGAGGAATGGAAAAGATAAAATGAACAGACAAGAACAGAAGCCGAGAAGAGTGGGCAAGGAAATAACTCTATTGAGAACTATCATGAGAAGGAATGTAAAAAATGGGTTGCACCCATTCTGTATAGTAGAAGAATCGAAAGGAATAGGAAGAAAAGAAATGCAAGATAAAAAAATACAGAGAACTTAATACAGACCAAATCATTAAATCAGGAAGCATGGAAAAGGTCCAAGTTTTTCAGAAAAGGTTCATAAAAGTCTATAAAACGTGAATATTGGTAATGGTAATAATAAACAAGGGAGGAAAAGGAAATCTTTCATCGTGGTGGTACACATATATATATATATATATATATAATAAATGTATATATGGGTATTCAATGGTCGTGATTGTTGGTAAACCGTTAATAAAAATTCTATAAACTTTGATAATCATTTATTCCTCTCACGTGAATATCTCAAAATATTAAATATGGTTTTGAACTAAACTTTCATGAACCGTGGAATTTTAATTCAAGTATATTTTGTTTTCCTGGATACTTGATATATACACAATTTTTAGGAAAATGAATATATTACATGTCAAATTATAAGTTAATAAATTATTTTTTGTTATGTGCAATATCCTCCACAAACTTCACCAGATCTGATAAAATTTATCTCAAATATTTAGTGTTTATGAATAATTAAATTTATTATATTTAATTATATAAAAAAATAAACTAAAACACTCAAAAGTAAACAATTTCAAAAGAATGAATTCAGTCTGCTGCCGGTACAGCGCATACGGTCAAAGAGGATTATAATCAATAAGTCAGAATATTGTAGTAGCATTCAGAAAGGGCCTACATTCTTAATTTAGCTTAATTAATTATGACAATACCTGGATGCCCTTCTCGTTTTGTTTTATCAAGCCTATTTACAACAGCATTATTACGCTTCGCTACTTTCATTTTTCTGACTTCTTTCTCTCTATGAAGGCTACTTGTCCCACTTCCATGGCATCAGTCTTCTTCAAATTTGCCCATGGCGTATATACAATGTCAATATCATTCATTTTATTTCCCATGATGCTATTTGCTTTAACAAGCTGACAAGCATCTTCAAGTACAGATGTTGGTATATCATCTATTGTTTGTCCCTAGTTAAAATTCACATTTAAAATGCAAATGGTATAAATAATTGCATTCAAATTTCCAAAGTGCACTACTTACAGGTTTTAGTCTTAAATACACATGAGCTGAAGAAACTTTATCAACATGAAACCACACATCCTCAGGCCAACCCCATTTAATTAAGTCCTCATCTATAAAATATAGAACAATTAATATATAGAATAATTTAATAGATAACCTCAAGACTTACTTTCATATTTATCAAATCCCATGAAAAGTGTTACTGGTGGTTGAACAACATTAGACTCAAAATAGTATACCATATTAAATTTTTTTTAAAATACTATAATTTTGAAAAGATTGATTGAATATTAAAAAATATTGTAAAATTTTGTATTTATGTGAATGAAGAGTGTCCACAAAGACGGTACTGTCAGAAGTTACACATGGTTTTTGACATTGACAGATGACAGATGACGTCGATAGTGCCGCCATTGCGGCCGCAATTTGTACTGCGCAACTAATCAAAAGAATCCTCCATCTGTGTTTCCAATTAGACAGACATATGTCAATTTCAAAATGTGTGCGAATGTGCATCACGAGATTTGGGCTGGAATGTATAAATTTAAATCATAATTTATTTGTGTCGGTGGTGTTAGTTCAAACTATTACAAAAATCGAAATAATCAGTTGATCGTAGTTTAGCACTGTGAGCAAAAAGATTATGATATACGAAAAACACCTTATACTTGTCTCTTCTAAGTTAGAAGATACAGTGTGAAAATCCACAGCCCTGGCACCGAGGGAATTTGGGGCCGATCTAAGGCCCAATAATTATCATGAAACAGGTATATAGCAATCTTTTTAAATATTTAAAGGTTATAATTAGTTTCCTGATAACCTTGCATCATAATGTCCCTTCATTATAATAATATCATATGCATAATTCCATTTTTTTTTCTGAAGTGTCTGAATGAAAAAATGAAATTTGTATTTGTAAACTGGATCTAATATTATTTTTATTATATTTTCCTTTTTACTAGATATAAAGTATAGACATTTCTTTCTGTTTCTGATTGAACTTGAAATGTGTGCTGTTTAATTTGGAAATGCCACAGTGATACGATAAAAAAATAAATAATTATAATGCGCCATCAATCATCACATAATTCATCATGCATTGCTGAGCACATACATGTAAGGCCAAGTGTGGGCACGGTGTTGTGACTCATGTTTTTGTAGGGAAACCCCTCATGAACACTGGCTACTATATATCCTTCATATAGGGTGGTGGGTGTTTCTAAACAACATTATATTAATATTGAACGTTGTTCTGGCCTTATGTTTGAATAAATTGCAATATAATTTTGTTATACGTAAAATAACGCTTATAATAAATGATATATTTTTAAAATAACATGCTTAACACTTTTTTAAAACGGTTACACATTATCCGAATTGGTATATTGAATATTTCAATCTTTCAGTTTGAATTAGTCTATTATCTTAAGTTAATATTTAAAACTTCGTTGGAGACTAAAAATGTTCGTTTAAGGGGCACAACTAGTGTGAAATTTTCAAGTAACCGAATTTTCAATTTTTCCATATTTTGATAGGTTATACCTTTAAAAATAACATACCAAAATTTTAAATCGATATCTTAAATAGTTTTTGAGTTACAGCTATTTAAAGTGTATATATATAGTATATAGTATAACGATCATTTAATCTTTAAACGCGTTTTTCTCGAAACAGCATTTTCCGAATTTGCTGCAGCGATTACTCAAAAACAAATGATCCGATCACTATCAAATTTTTTTTGCATATTCTATATATAGTTCTCCGTAAAATGAACTATCGATTTTTTGATCGGATCAAAAATCGAATTATGGCAGTCCAAAAACGACCAAAATTTTGGGTAAAATTCGACTTTTTTTAAAAAAACGCCATCATTTTGTCAATTTTTGATTTTTTTCTTTATCGTAGTTCATTTTACAGACAATATTATCTAGTTTAACGAAAAAAATTGGTTAATTTTTTTAAAATTTCATCCACGTAGAAGGCCGGAATCACTGCAACAGTGAAGGGCCTTTTAACCCAGTCAAATTAAGATTTCAGTTAGGAATAATTCGCATAGAGCTGAAATTTGGTACAGATGTTAAATAGGCCATTACCAATAAAATGTCAAAAGTCCCCATCGATCCGACATCTGCGATTTTTTTTATTCAAGGTCAAAGGTGCAAAAATCTAGTTTTCCCCATTTTCCGTCGAAACCATAAGAAATTTTAAAAAATAATGTTAGATAGGTTTATTTATTATAAAATTCTCTATTAAATTGTTGTTATTAATTTTTTTCGTTAGAATCACCGTTTCTGAGATATTACCGTTTGAAAAGTTGAAAAATTCATATTCTTCATAATATGCAGCTTTTAAACGTCATAAAATGTGTAATATAAATAATATGTCATTTTCCTAGTGTGGGAGGGTCACATATATGACTGTTTGTGAAGCGAATAAATGAAACTGATGATGTATGGCATCGAGCTTTAAAGCAAATTGCTAGAACTTACCGTACCAAAAATTAAATTGTTCAAAAAGATTTTTTTTTTAAACTAAAATATAAAAAATGATTTTTGTGAATTTTGAAATTTTTGAAGAAATTGACTTTTTTGGTTAAAAAAATATTTTTTTTATATTTAGAAATAATTTGAAATTTGTGAAATTTTTTTCAACGCAATAGCGCTGCATTAGCTACATGGATACGTAGCGCGTAAGCGGATAAACAATATTACAGAACCCATAAAAATGTTAACAAAATTTGTAGTTATTATTAAAATCTATATAAAATATCTAATAATGTGATGTACATATGTCTAATAATCATTTTTGGCCGTTTTTTCACTTTTTTCACTCGATAGCCTCAAAATTTAATCAGTTGTTCATTTCGTCAATACAAGTAAAATGTTTTTTTGAATTTTTGAAATCGTTCTCTTATCGCTCCCTTCTCTTCAAAACTGAATTGCCATTTTTGGCACTTTTTGCCCCGTATCTTCGAAATGGTTTTGCCAAAAACTAAACAGCACTTCTCCTTATTCGAATCGAATGCTTTTTGAATCATTCCAATCGGTTGAAACGTGTTCCCAAAATCGTCGACGTAAATTTGGAACACACACACACACACTTCCATTGTTTCTAAGGTATGCCAAAATGTTCAGAAACCTCTGAATCGTAAAGATATATTAAAATTTTCATTTAAGATTCTTTTTTGTTTACTATACGTAACCCTACTGGAAGTTAATAATTAAGTATACATGAAAGCAGAACGTATGATGACAATCCAAAGTCATAATTTTTAATAAATAATATCTAGTGGCAACATATGAGTTGGAGGATGAAGTGTCTCTGCCAATTATATATCATTATATGATACAGTATGTCATTACTAAAAGACAAATGAATCTGATCTGAAGATATTTTGATCCAAAATGTCGATAAAAAACGTTAATCCCAATACCCGACCTAAGCCGAACAACAGCCCTTATACGGTAGAATCTAACATTACATATTATTTTAAAATAACCCACTTTGAATCGTCGAATTATTAAATTTACTTACTTTATTTTACTTGCTCCAAAAAATATGTCAATATTTCTAGAACAATGCTGTTGATATTTTGAAACATTCCACACGATCAGGAAAAAATGTCATCATCAACCATTGCAGTTTAAATTTTTTAAATTGTTTTATTGCCAAAAAATATTTTTTCAATTTTTCAAATAAAAATTGATTTAAATTTAAAAAATCGACAATTCAAAGTGGATAGTTCTGGAATAATATGTAAAATTATATTCCACACTGTCCGGCTGTTGTTTGGGTTAGCTCTCCTAAATCAAGATTGCAGTTGGAATTAACATTTTTATTGACATTTTGGATCAAACCACATTACACAGATTTATTCGTCATTTGGTTATGGCATATTGTATCATATAATGATGCAAAAATGTATGAGGCAACGACAATTCGTCTTCCATCTCATAGGTTACTACATATTTGCACATTTATTCAAT